CGGGGTACTCACGGATCAAAGCCGAAAGGCCTCTTGCCGGCGCTGCACCATTTAGCTTCATCACACTCATGGTATCGAATGATAGTTAGTACTCGTACAGTCAGTGGCAACTTTCCTTCTGGACTGTGGCACTTTCACCCCCAGACCCGTCAATCCCTAAACACCCTAAACCCAATCGTGGCTGCCTGAATGCCCCCCGCAGCCCCTGCGTACCAAAGTGACCCGCCGAGCCCCCTGCTGTGGATTGTGGCCGCTGTGCTAAAACCCCACAAAACCTAATCTATGTAAAGGAACCTTAATTCTAATTGGTAAGGCCCCATGTCAAATGTTTCCATCAGCTGAGGGCTCAAGCCTGGAACTGAAAGAAGCCAGCTTTTGGGTTTGAGGTTGTGGTTTTAGGGTTTAGGAAACCCGAAACCCTAAAGCCGACACCCTAAACCCTAAACCCTGCACCCTAAACCCTAATCCTTAAAGGAGTTGAGCGTTTAGGAGTTTCAGTTTAGGGTTTTAGGATCTTGGGGGTCAAGTTTCCGGCCGGGCTTAGAGTTGAGGACAACCCTGCCGGACGAAGACCGTTCTTCGGCTCCGAAGTTTGAGGGGGCGCAGGGTTGTTGAGTAGTTCAGCTACAATAAACAGCTCAACCCTAAACCCCTAAAGCCCTAAACCATCCTAAACCCCTAAACCCCTAACCCCTAAACCCTAAACTCCTAGACCGTAAATTAACATCTTCTAAAAGATACATCCCTGCGTCGCAATGGGCTGCGGAGCCTCCGCGGAGCCAGGCAAAACCGGCTCTGCAGAAACTTCGTTGAAAGCTCTGGAGGAACCGGTCGTTCCAGTGGATCCGTCGAAGTTTACAAGTATCTCGGCTGTTTTTCGCGCACGGTTTGGGGTCGTTTACTGTAAGGTTGATAGGGTTCGCGATTTAGGCTATTTCGGCGGTTTTTTGGCCGCATCTTCACTGACAGCGTAAGCTTCGTGTGGGGGTAGCCATTACTCGCTTCAAACTCGTTGAAGCCACCACTCCTGTGACCGACACTTAGTGAATTTCGTGCTCCAGAAGCAGCGCTCGAGGAACCTCAACAGTCCAATCGTATGACATGACAAGAGCAAAAGCAATGATGTAAACCTCTGAATTTGTTTTTAGATGTGGCTCTTCTAAACCGTAGTTGCTGAGTAGGTAAGATTCAATGTGTCGGGGTGAGCATGGTTCATTGCACCGCATTAGAACGTTTCGGCTTTTCTGGCGAAGGAACTCAGCAACTACGTAGGATAAAATCGGCTTCTGGCTTAGCGTTTAGAGTTTCGGCCAGTCCCCTCAACCTTGAACCCGTTTCCAATCCCAGACGAGTCTTAAAACAAAACTGCCACTCAAGCTATGCAATTTGCCCAAGAACCCTTTTGCAATGGAATTTACACAAGGTATGTGTGGAGAGGGGGGGAGTGATTATACGCTCGTGCACGGGAAACCCTTGGACCCCCGAAGCATACCCACTTGTTTTAGACCTTCCCTCCGCAAACCAAGAACCCGCACATCCTAGACCTTACAGACCGAAGCCCGGAACCCCGAAAGATCTATAGCCCTTACCTGGGGATCCAAAAACCTACCGTTTTAAGGGTTCTACCTTCTAATGAAGGGGTCGTAACCTACCATTTTGCAGGGTTTGGGGTCAGGGGTAAGCCTGTATAAACCCGAGCTGAGGTGTTTGCAAAAAGGCACAGGGTCAGAGCGCCACCTGGCTTGGTGCCTCCCAGTTGCTCTTTATCTCGGGCGACAACGAAGCGGAGGCGTTGGCTTTATATAAGAGAGGGACATGACTGATGATAATAGAATGTTGGGGTGTGTTATGATGCTATTGCTACCTATTTGTAGCCCTGTATTCGGATGGAAGGCGCGGGCCAAGTTAGCTGGGCTTAGGGCTACGGGTCAAGGCTATTCTGATCTTGGTCTTCGGATTCAAGGTTTACGACTCAAGAGATAAGGAGTTCTGCGTTTAGGGAAGGGTGCAGCTTTTCTTGTGTATGCAGGAGACTTCTCGAGGGCGAATGTTGGATTCAGGGATTTGTTGAGTTTTATGGCCGGTAATCGGGATCCTTGCTGTGCAAGCCATACATCAGACGCACTTGGCTCTGCGGGGCCTTTAGACAATCCAAATAAACCTCCTATAACCATCTACAAACAAGGTTGTAAAGCCGCGACGAGACGCGATCAAACTTCGAGGAAAAAAGCGATAAACCGCGTCGAAACCCTAGAGCCAAAGCAGCAACACGACCCATGTGACCCTAAGCCCTAAACCCCTAAACCCTTTTCCCCTAAACCTTAAACCCCAAACCCTAAACCTTAATTAAACCCTAAACCCCAAACCCTAAACCCTAAACCCTAAACCTTAAACCCCAAACCAAACCCTAAACCCTAAACCTTAAACCCTAAATCTCCAAACCGTGAAGGTGCATCCTCTGGAAGTCCTCGATCTGACGACGACCACCTTCCAAGAGGCTTGCGCCCGAACTTAGACATGCAGAAAATTGAAGAGAGAGACGAGTTTCAGGGTTGTTGGGCTTAGAATCTATGGCTTATGGTTTAGGCTTTCAGGCTAGAGTTTTACGATTTAAGGTTTTGGTGGATTTCTGCCTATGTTTTTGAGGTTTTCGTTCAAAAGAAGCGAGTATAGAGTATGATGAGAGGTATTGTAGATGATTGTCCTTGCAAGGAGCAGATGGGGTTTATGGATTTTTCAGTTGTCGGTTTTTGCTTTCAGGCGAGTTAGTTTCGGATATTTTGGGGTTAGAGTTAGGGTGCCATGCTGAGGTGGAGCGTTTTATGTATGGGGAGTTCAATCTAAGACACCGTTTCGCGGTTCTTCGCATCCTTGCACTCTTGCTACTATCACGGTGCTTCCTTTAGACGCCTGAGCGGAAGACTATGAAAGAGCATCAACTTCGTGAAGCCTCGCCCCTCGGTATCGTGACAAACGCTGGGGTTAGGTAAGGTAGTTCCATTGTGCCCTGTGCAGAAAACTTGGTATCGAGCGTTCTACGTGTTTCTAATGATGTTGTCACAGCAGCAAAGACCCGAAGAGCATGTTGAGCAGGGTTCAAAACACAATGACATAGCTGCCATCAGAAGCCCCTTTTAAAGATTCGTGAGGCTAGCTACGTTTCTTGTGCAATGCCCTGTCGGCTCCAGGGCTTAGGATCTAATTTTGATGGGTTGCAAAGCCATCCGATCCCTAAACCCTAAACCCTAAAACCGTCCTTTGAAGTATATAGCTCTCCAACACCCAGGGCGCCTAAGGCCAGGTCCAGTCAAACCCTAAACCCCGAAACCCCGAAACCCCTAAACCCCTAAACCCTAAACTCCGAAACCCCGAAACCCTTAAACCCCTAAGCCCCTTGTCAGTGCTAGGGCTCGGGGATTTAGGCGAGGGGTTCCAGTGTCCTTCGTTCTTCGGACCTCTCTGTACTGTTCCTCGTGCAAGGCGTAGAGCCGTTGCATTCCCAAAGGTTCCATGCAGTTTATATAGGAACCTTTTTTAGGCCAAAGTTAATAATACAATATATTGAATATATTACCCTAACCCCCCAGGTACCTACTAGATAGGGTACTAGAGCCCCTAGGGCCCTATATAGTAGGTACCTGGGAGGTTAGGGTTATATTGTATATACTTTGGCCTCGAAAAGGGCTCCTATACAGGTACCGTCAAGCCGCGTTTTTTTTTTTTCCGGGCCATGTCCAGGGCTCTCCCGTAAGCCCTCTAAACGCTGAGCCCGAAGCTACTTAGACTTAGGGTTTAGGGTTTAGGGTTTAGGGTTTAGGGGCCTATGGGTAGTGCCATTCCCGGTTGGTCCCGACGCAGTGATCTTGTAGCATAATTACACCCACCGTATTGCTATGATTCAGCCCCGCTACGTGATGATCAGTACGGTTAGCAGTAGCCCCCCTGCCAGTTCCTAAATAAGCATTCTAAATCACGTCCCCGAGAACCCCAAGCAACTACTGAAGCCACCCGGAAGGGCTCCGAGCTTGGATTTCATGAGAGTGGAAGCTTGCTGTCATTCTACTAGTAGGGCTTTTTGGGTTCTTGTTAGAGGAGTTAATTAAAGTTACCATAATTGAAGAAACCATATTCTTTACTGTGGATCCCCATTGTGGTAACTTAAAATCCCAAAACAAGAGCCCAGCTTTTGGGCGTTACTGTTGCAGGCTGGAGGGGTCTTCTTGGGGTTTGCACTCCTCCTTGGTTTAGGGTTTAGGGTTTAGGGTTTAGGCGAGGGTACTCATAGTAGTAGGTAGGGTTGTCGGCCCGCAAAACGGTTTAGGGGTTTAGGGTCGTTCTGAGACCCTTTTAAGTTCCAGTTCCCACCCAATCCCAAGCCTGCCAGCCATCAACGATTAAGCCGCAGAACCTCTGAGTGGTAAACCCCCAAAAGAATGACTGCTCAGTAGTACAGCGAGCACCTTGTAGCCATGAACGAAACCGGACAACTAGTAGCTGGGATGAGTTTTAAAATCAATAAGGAAGACGCTCTGCTTCTTGAGCCTGTGCACCAAACCTCCTCGTCTGCAGGTCGGCTCGCTGTCGCTTGGCAACAGGATGCTTGTGGTTGGGCATTACCCATAGGCTCCTGAGTAGTTCCTTTTTGTGGGCCATATTTAGAATCCCATAAGGTAATCCCAAAAAGGAACTACTTAGGAGCCCATGGGTACATATGCGCTGTAACATCCCTGTCTATGTTGTGGATTTAGGCAAGACCTGGAAGACAGAGCCTAGGAAGCCCGAAACGTTGAAAGCTACAGAAGCTGCAGACTGCAGCCCCAGACGCTAGATCGCACAGACGTTTCCCCTTGCCGACACGGAGACTCAGGTGAATCAGTTCTAGTTTGTTCCGTCCCATGTGGCCTTACTGCCGCTTCAACCCGAAAACCGAAGCCAAACCCCTGCACCCTGAACCCCAAACCCCGAACCCAGGGCCACTCCCTCAGCCTTAAACCCCCCAGGAAGGGCCTCGCTTGGCCGCTGGTCACTGCCAGCCGCGACCGGCAGCGCTACGCGGCCGTCGCCGGGCTCGAGGCGCAATGGGAACCAATTTAAAAACAACAAGGACAATGTTAGTAACGCTGATACTAATACAAATACTTATATACTATTTTAATCATAAGAAATGTCTAAACCTGTACAAATGTGTTTATATCACCACGACACACAGAATACAATGACAAAAGCAATCGCACTTGGAGTTGGGATATCATGGCGTGCTTTCGGCTCCTAATCGGTTGCTATACGTTATGGCTTTAGGGGCTTTCAGGGACCTTATAGGGGCCTCAATGGTCAGAAAGGAGGCTTGTACCATACATGGCATAAGACCAGAGAGACTCCAGACCACTTAACTACAAGGAATGTACCCCTAAACCCTAAACCCTAAACCCTAAACCCTAAACCCTAAACCGTAGTAGACCTTAGATCATCGTGGGGTTCCTTTTGCTATTGGAGTCTCGGGGATGCAGTGTAATTGTACAGAGATTAAACTCCTAGGTAGTATTAGGGAGACCCCTTAAAGGGGGACCCTTCTGAACCCTACTTGTGGCTCTCTTAAAAGGGGCCTTATTGAGAGGGTCTATATCCCCAAGGGTCTCCCTAATCCTAACTCCCATAAACGGGATGGCCTTTCAATGCTGTCCTTCCTAGACGCTGAAGTGTAGTACCTTTTGTTGCTTACCTTTCTTATCCACGACTCAACCGCAATGCCCTCCTCCCCGTGACTATGGAGCATATTCTTAGTGTGAAATGACATGAAGGATTTAAGACACTCTCGGCCAAGACACTCAAAGCCCAAAATCCGTGACATTTGAGGCACGATCCAAATCGTCATTTCCGACGTCCGTCAGGAAGCCCCCAACAGCGAGTCACCCTGGGTATATGCTATATACCCATAGGCTCCTAAGTAGTTCCTGTTATATTTAGAATCCCATAAGGTAATCCCAAAAAGGAACTACTGAGGAGCCCATGGGTAAGGACATGGGCCCCTAGGATTCAGGGATTCGTGTAGGGTAGGTCTAAATCAGTCTAAGGGCGCTAGACGAGGCTTCGGCCTAGGGTTTATACGGGGCTCAAGAATCAGACTGGGGCTTGGGGGTAAGTTATCTACGGACCACAGCGGGAGAGTATGACCAGCTATTTAGAGACGTATTGTCGGCAGAATACGAATTCGGGCTTGGGGTCTTGGCCCAAAAGTACCTATGTAGGGATTACTTTGAGGCCAAAATATATATACGATTTGGGCACACGGACCCTTAGGGGAATCAACCCTGGGCACGCAAACCCTAAACCCTGAGGTGCATGTGCGGAGCTCCGCAACGCACGAGACGACGCTGACGCTGAGGGTGCCTGGCCAGGGCGCCGCCTATGCATCACGGACTGAGACTGTGGGTTTTTGTTTCTGGGCTTCGTCCTCAGGGTTCCGAATCATAATAGTAATAACAACAACAACAACAACAACAATTATAATAACAATAATACGAACAATAATAACAAGAAAAATAATGATAATAGTATTATGCCTCAATGGGGTTAGAGGCTTAGGGTTCAGGTCAGGGTTCAGAACAGATAGATGGCATAGTCATAAGGATCAGGGTGTCTTCTTATGCTCTCTTAAAGGACTTCCAGAGTTGAACATCTTCATGGCAAGATCTTTACCTTTGTGCAGCTTCTGGGCCTCTGTTATCGTCCCAAAGGGTCCCAGGTCCTGTTATGGGGGATACTTTCCCAAATCATAATAACAGTTCCTAATACAGAAACCCTACATTCTACTATATAGGTACTTTGGACCCTTTTTATATCATGGTATGCGGTATGATAGTATATTATGGCATTTGACAGTAGGTTATGGTATACTATCGTAGGGCCTGGGGGTTTCAGTGTGGGGATGCTGGGGCTTTAAGCTTTGACCCCGAAGCCCAAGTCTGTTTTGAGGGCTTAGGGTTCAGGGTTTCGGGTTAAGGGGGGCATACGGCGTTTTGTGCTTGCTTATACAGTGTTTTTGTGTCGAGCATAGGGTTTTCATGAATAGTTCTTCAGGCCGTGTATGACCAGTCCGCCGGGTTGCTGCATGTTCACATTCATATTCATCTATGCGGTTGAGAGGCATGCTTTAAATGTCAAAGCAATCCATGTGCGAGTTCGGGCAAGTGAGGGGCGCCCCACCCATGCAGATCCCACACAAAGGGCCGCAAAGAAAGGACCCCAAGCTTTATCCTAAACCCAAAGACCTGAAAGACACGATATGCAAGGTCTCCAGCCTGGAGTTCAGCCCAGACGGCCGGCACTTGGCCGCTGTTGTGGACAATGTCTGTACGGTCTACGACATGGAGGTGCTACCTGGACCCTGAAAGCTCTACACTCTTTACACGTTGCCGGTTAGTAGTAGGGTAGCTCTCTGAACTAGGGCTCCCTTTTCGGTCCCCAATATAGTGCGGCACCCTTATAAAGAGGCCCCGAAAACGGATCCTAATTTAGAGAACTACCCTTTCTCATGTTCATGTCCTGAAAAGGGCATTGGGTTGGGCTGCAGGAAGTACAACGAGCTTGGGCTTGTTGCCTCGAGTCGTTCGGCAGGTCCTAAACCCTAAACCCTAAACCCTTAAAACCCTGAAACCGTTAGACCCTATAAACCCTAAATTTAAACCTTATAATAAACCCTTAATCCTAAACCCCTACAACCCCTAGACCCTAAACCCTATAAACGTTAAGCTGTAGTGAATGTGGGAACCCCAAGTCATCGTTTTAGGGTTTAGGGTTGAAGGTTTATAAGGTTTAGGGTTTTCGGTTTAGCTAGGGGTTTAGGGGCCCTTTTTAGGGTTTATGGTGATGGAATGGTTGAGGCTTTCTAAGCTTCCTGGGCTCGGTTGTAGACAAAATACTCGCATGGCCCTCCCAGCCGGCAGCCTAACTGTAACTATACCTATGACGTAGTTTCTATATAAATATGTACACATGTATACAGACAGATGATACTATTGAAATATGTTTTGTTTTGCCATTTCAGGCCTGGAGGGGTTGGGCGGATCAGAAATTTAGGACCCTGGCTTTCCCCCGATGCAGATTTCCATCCAAGCGCCCTTTGCAGGGCAATCTCGTGCTCACGGTGGAAGGGGAGAAGCTCAAAATGTCAGCATGCTGGTACGATGCGGACACTTTGCTCTCCCTCAACGAGTGGGTCATCTACTACCACACCCTGAGCTCGAAGGACGGTCTTTACGCTTTTGCCGAGGACAAGGTCATTATGGGGTTTAGTATATAGGGCCCTTCATCGTTGGGAGCAACGTCCCAAGAAAAAAGGCATCTCGTTTGTTCTGTCACGGATGGGCTGTTTGCGGCAGGACTTCCCTCTACCTCCAATGTATATAGTCCCTTTTTTATGGCTGCCTTTGGCCGCCTGTCTGAGTACAGTAAGTACTACATATCTGTAGGCCCTAACCCCAAAATTTGCTAACCAAGAGGCAACTACTGCGAAGAGTATAGGCCGTGGCTCCGGGTTTGTGGTATAAGCCTTCCCGCTGGTCACTTGTTTCCAAAATCCTTGTTTTATGGTACGAATGTATGTGGACATACGTGTATATGTATATATATATAAAATTTCGTTTATTGATTTATTTACGTCTATATCTGTTTCTACTTCTATATCTATAACTAGCATTATCTATAACTATGTGTATTTCCATCCCTATATTTCTGTCTTTGTATCTGCATCTGTATCTACATCTAGATTCATGTCTATGTCTATGTCTATACATATATACCAGTACAAACACATGCACATGCAGCTTCCAGGGTTTAGAGTTTTTACGTTTGAGTACACTTCGCTTTGGTCAGTGCTTGTTTCGTGTGTGCACCCATCCTCATGACATGTCGTGACCACCAGTGTTATGTCCGCATCATACCCGTCATCTCCCAAACCGAGCCCTAAACTACGGTTGATGACATACAACCTGCATTGCCCATAATAAGGAACATACCATAATTCCCGTTGTTTTGTGTCCTTAAGGTAGTGCAGGATTTATATCACCAGCAGTAGGCCCTAAACCCTTCATCGAAAAATAAGGATCTCAGGGCTCAGGCGAGAAGTTTTCGGGGACAGGCTTTGGGGCCTGTGGATGCAAAGCTTTGGGGTGTCGGCTGAGCTTCTGGGGCTCTAAGCGAAAAAAATGGCCCAGCACCCATAAACAACTATTATCCTACATACTTGTAGGGTCCAGGTAGTGCCTCTTTGTATGTAGGTGTTTTTATACTTGTGAGATTCGGGCTTTCGGTTTCAGGATGTTTTTTTGTCAATTCGTTGCCCAACAACGCAAACCGTAAGCCCCAAACACAACTTCAGTCCAAAACCGCCACAAACTATGGAAGCCCAGGCTCAGAAGGCCCTATAAAATCCGCAAAAACTTAAGCCTCCTTATGGAACCCTATAGACTACTAGTAGTCTTCTTCTCATTAATCTTTCTAGCAGTATTAGTATCACTAGTGTTGTTTTCGTTTATCAGCATGCTTGCTATTATTATGACTATCATACTGCTACTACTATTATCATTGTTATTATTGTTGTTTCTATTATTATTATTATTTAGGCCGCTACTACATCACTGGGCCCTAAACCCTAAATCTTGAACCCTGGACCCGAACCCCAAAGCCCGGTCATTGGGCCTTTTTTTGTGCAGGAGCTGGTAAACAAGTGGGAACTGCCCCAGGGCACCGTTGCCGAAGCGCATGTGAGCAAAGACAAGAAGTTGCTTGGGTAGTCTGGGATTTGGATTTAGGGCAGTTAGGGTTTAAATAGGGGTCTGAATAAATACTTATACTATTTGTGGGGGTTCCTTCTTATAATTATCGTATAGTTTACCACAAAACCCTGTTCTAATTGCTAAGGCCCCCTACATTAGGGCTTGAGTAAGGCAGTTTGGGTGTATAGGGTTTAGTTTGGGGAAGTCTGTGGTTTCGGGTTTAGGGTTATGGGCTGTTTGGGATTTAGGGTTTAGGGTTTTAGGGTTTAGGGTTTAGGGTTTAGGAAGCAGTTTGGAATTTATGGGGTCCAAGAGTCTAAGAACTTGGTGTTCTATAAGGGCACGGTGTAGGGTTTTGGAAAAGGGTGTTTGAAGAGGCTTATGGCAGTTTATGGGGGTTTTATCAAAGGTGTGTAAGGTTCCAAAGGACGCAATAATTAGGTGCTTGGGTTTGGGATAGATGTAGTATTCGGGATGCTGAACCCTCAACCTTAAATCCCCTTAAAGCCTAGAGCCCTGAACCCAGCAAAGCGAGAGCCCTCAACCCCAAAACCCTGAAGCCCTTAACCTTTAAACTCAAAAAACTACATCACGAACCCCAAATCCCTCCCTAGTAGAAGGCCCAAAGTTGGCAACGCACTAGCCTTACTCCTGAAGAGTCGTGTATATGGAAAGGCCATCACTATGTTGTCCTCAACCCGGTTTTCCAACTTCCTGGGATTCGATAAACCCTAAACCCTAAAACCTAAACCCTAAAACCTAAACCCTAAACCCTAAACCCTATAACCCCTAAACCCTACAAAACTCCGCAACTCCTAAATCCCAGCAACTCCTAGGCTCTTGGTCTCTGACGACAATGCCAAACTGAAGCTGCTGGCATGGGAGCCGGACATGAAGGCTCTGGACTTGGGGGAGGTTTAGGGTTGGACTTGGGAGGTTTTGGGTTTAGGGGTTTTGGGTTTTCGGGGTTTTTGGGGTTCTTGATAGGGGGGATTTAATGGGGTTATTTAGAGTTGATAGGGAGGTTTAAGGTTTAGGGGTTTAAGGGTTTAGGGTTTTCGGGTGTTCGGGGTTCTTGTTAGGGGATTTCATAGAGTTTGGAGTTGATAGGGTTGATGGTATAAACCCTGCATTACCCATAATGAGGAATATACCCCAATCCCCATAGCCTAGGGTCCTTAAGTTAGTGCCGATTTTTAGATCATCAACAGTAGGGTTTAGGGCTTGCGGGGTCTTAGGGCTTTAAGGACTCAGGGTCTGAAATCTAAGCCCTAAACCCTGAACCCTAAACCCTCTTTATAGGGCCTACCCGTAGGCCCCTAAGTAGTTCCTTTTTGGGATTACCTTATAGGATTCTAAATATAATCCACAAAAAAGGAACTACTTAGGGGCCTATGGGTAGGGACGAGATGTGAGAGGTTGATGGCTGCAATTTCGTGTCCAAAAGAGGGCTGTCATTTTCAGGCACCCGAACCGCCTAGATCGATGAGATCCTCGAGTTTTTCGATCCCTAAGGTAAGGTTGCCGGGCACAGAAGTTGGAAGTTGTTCGTTAATGGTACAAGTCAATGCTCGGATGCCGGGAACCCTCGATCGCCAAAGTCGCGGCCTAGATCCCTGAACCCTAATTAACCCTGTAAACCCTAAACCCACAACCCTATATAAACCCTAAATCCCTAAACCCCTGAACCCCAGTTAAACCCTATAAACCCTAAACCCCACAACCCTAAACCCCTGAACCCCAATTAAACCCTATAAACCCTAAACCCCCTAAACCCCTAAACCCCTGAACCCCAACTAAACCCTATAAACCCTACACCCTGAACCCCCAAACCCCTAAACTCCCCGAACTCCCTTCCCGCCCTGGAGGCCTTCGAGACCTTGCAGACGTTTGATGCTCCACCGGGGAACCTAGGTTCCGCAGTAGTACCCTTTTGCCCTTTTTCCTTTCTGGGCTCCCTTATTAAAAGCAAATAGTAGGAAAAGGGTACCGTTATCATTAAGGGGCCACTGGGGAACCTAGGAACTACAGCGGCCCCAGCAACCTCATCGTGTTCTCCGACGAGCGGTCGGCGCATGTCTCGCATGGCAGTGTAACTAGGTGATGGTTCGGGTTATATGTTGTATCTTGCCCGGACTATTAACATGCAGGAAACCCACTTACAAAGTTCGGTCCGGTTGTTCTCCAAATACAGCAAAGTACAAACCCTAACCCGACCCCAAACCCTGCACCTTCAACGGTCCCCTCCACATGTTGCCAAAATCGTCCTGTGGCCTTTTTTGCTGAACTGCTGCACCCAAATTCGACGGCCTCAACCACAAAGCCTATATACACACACCCCAAACTCCTTACCGTTGTAGTTCCGTTTTTGAGTTAACCAACGATACATAATATCTGTATATACATATATACATATATATATACACACATAGAGTCTATGAGGATGTTCTACGGTAACCCCAGACAGGATCTACGATGGAGACACTCTAAACCCTAATCCGAAGGCTCAAAGGGCAGGAGCCAAACCGCGAGCCTCGAACCTCCTCGACCCGTCCCTCTTTGCTTTCTGGAGAGCCAGAAGCATAACACGAACAAGAATACGGTTCAGGTTCAAAAATTATGCAACAAGGTATAAGGCCAAGAAGACATGTACACACCAGGCAAACCTGCTGACCATACAGTGAGTGCTATACTCTACACCCATACTGCTTCAATTGCAATAGTTTACGTAGGGCTCAGGTTATGTTGCAAATCACTGCTCAACTTCATCATGTTACGAAGCATGGCGGAAATCCCGTTCATGATGATATGGAAGTCATGCAAAAGTACGGGTAACTGTCATCTGCATAACAATCGTTTGAGGAATTATGGTAATGTAATGTAATGTAATGTAATGTAATGCAATATTGCTGTTAAACAATATATTGTGGTAATATTAAGCCGGGTGAAGTTTGGGCTTGTACGGATTCGCGCAGTTGGAGCCGCTCGCTTGCAAAGATACTCGCAAGATAAGGGGGATTTGATATTCCGACTGCATCTCGTGGTGCTCAGGGTCTCCGGTTAATTCAACAAGTTTTCAGTGAAAGTGTCTGGTGGGGCACATTGGCCTCTAAACCCCTTAACCCCTCAAGCCCCCCAATACCGCTCCACCTGCACCCTAAACCCTAAACCCAAACCGGAAATCTCAGGCCCAGGATCCAACAACCAGTACACGTCCAGAGACGTGTTGCAGCCCAGGTGCTTTACGAGCCGGGTGGCGGAGGTAACTTCCGATGCTCGGTCGACAAACCTAGGGGTTGAGTGTTGTGTGGCTTACGTTCGGTTTAGGGTTTAGGGTTCAGGGGGCTATAAGTTTAACCTTGGCAGCTGCGAGCCCTAATCTAGAGATCCAAAGGCAACTGTGAAATTCGATGAGATGGGCCTGGGGCTTTGAAGTCGACATGCATTCTTACCTGCAGCCCCCGATTGCCCCCCCAGAGTTTGGGGTCAGTGGTTGCTGACGGAAGGAGTTGCGGGATGAGGCGAGCCTCCTCCAGCGTAGATGGTATAGATCGTGAACTCGAAACCCAAACCCCTCTTTTTCTAGTTGTCAAGCATACAACCCCTGTAACATCTCAATCGAAAGCCACGAAAACCCGAAACGTGAAGAGTTCCATCTCCGACATTACCGTCGCACCAGCATGGAACCCTTGCAGTATCCTTACTTACAGCACCGCAGACGACCCTATAACACTCTCAAACGCTATGCCGCTCTGCAACCTTGCAAAACACTATACTAAACAGCCCCTATATCCCGATATATCTTGTAGTTACCCTTACAGAACTCCGTTAAACCCTGACTTCAGTATGGCCGACTTGGGGGCGTGCCAGGGTCAAAGCGCTTTCGGTTCAAGATGTTCAGGTCTGGCGCTACGGTCCAAAAATTATTCCTGTAAAAGGGATTCCTCTAAGGGTCCCTTTAAAGGGTATTGAAGAGTTCCTTTGAAGGGGTTCCTTTAAGGGTTGCGAGTAGGGCGGGGATGAGGGTTTGAAGGTTTAATGCTCATGGCTTGAGGCTTAGAGCTACGCCTGAGGCCTAAGCTGGGGTTTCATTGCCCGCACGTTTTTGATGGATGCCCGAGCCTGAATCGTGAAGTTGCAAATCTTTCCTTAGACCCAAAAGCCTCGGTTCGAGAAGGCTATCATAACCTCGAGACGGGCGAGATCATCACCGTGCCTCGTGGAGAGGGCCCGGAAGAGGGCCTCCCCTCTGTTCCCGGGCTGCAGCGTGAGGGTTTAGTGCAGACTTTCGATCGGAAAAGAGCGAGCGAGAGAGGGAGGGAGAGAGAGAGAGAGAGAGACAGAGAAGAAGAAGAAGAAGCATAACGAAGTCAAGAACAAGAAACTTTACTGCAAAAGGGTCAAGAAGAAAAAGAAAGACAGAGAGAGTTTACAGTGGAAAAGGTCACGGAATTTGCATTCGTGTCGTGATACGCAGATGCCAGCAACACCGCTCCGATGGCTGTTTGGAACTTTAGGTACCCTAAACCCTACACCCTAAACCGCACCAGCAGCAACCTAAACCCTAAACCGTAACAGCAGTGACAGTGCCTGTTATGACTGCAAGTCTCTCTACGGTCATACAAGCCGTTTTGTAAACCTCGAAGGCCCGAAGGTACTACGGTTGATGATATAAATCCTGCATTACCCAAAGGGTCCAAAATACCTATATAGTAGAATGTAGGGTTTCTATAATAGGTCAGAGGGGAACTTAGGCAGGGATG